TGCAGCCCCTATGACGCATGGTTGTATTATAAGATTAGTAAAGCTTTTGCAGCTGTCTCCAGTGTTTTAGGCTCTCATCTTTTCATCACAGAGATTGGTCCATAATGAAAACTGCAGTTAGCGCAAATGCCACAATTTGCATGGTTTTATTTTTTATTTTAATCATGGTCTTATTCTAAACCTAACGAATTAGTTTTGTTGCTTAAGCCCAACATTAACCACATGTTAAACAAAAGTCTCACAAAGACACTAAAGTTTACCATGTGTTTCTATACGACGTGACAAAACTGCGTCGGTATCTGACGACCTGGGATTAAAACATGCTGCACAGAAATAAGACCCAGATTGTGAAAAACTGAATTTTCTTTGACACTATGAAGACCAACAGGCTGTAGAGGTTAACTCCATTTAAGTGGTATGTAGGCCTACAGAGAGCAAATCAAGCAAAGGTCATGTGGGAACTGGAATGCTAACATATTTCACTCCAGTGCTGTTTTGAGAAAGATTTTGTTTCATGAAACTTTCTCTACGTACTCTTTGGGGTAAAATTTGCTTAGTTTGGCTAAGTGTGTCAATAGTTACCTTGCTCTCCAATAGTGAAATTAGGAGGCACACAAGTATACAGCACACATTCCTTGATTAAAAAAAACTCTTGACAGGACTGTTTAGCCATACATTAGTACTGAGGTGAATATTAGCAATAGAAAAGCTATGACTGGTCAAAGGAGGGGTCTGAGTAGCATTGTAGGACTTCCTGTTCTTTACAGAAAATGACTATAGGCCTTCAGAGCTTTTTTGGGAGAAGGGCGTAGTACAGGGATAGCTTTTAGTCTGATCCCTTTTTTGAACGTATTTCCTATTCACAGAAAGGTTAAATTGTTCTTCATGTAACATGCAAGTGAGCATTTAAACCTTCACCTTCAAGACCGAATGATCTCAACAACAAAACACTATTTATCTAAAAACACAAGCAGATTTAAATTCCACACAGCAGTATGCTAATCTAACGAACACTGTGAGCACTCAGTTCCATTATTCCAAACAGAAATAAAGCTGTTATTGGCCTTTTTTTTAGGGGATATCTGACCCTTTCCACAACAGAGTAAAGTTTACATATTGAGACAGGTTAATAACAAATATTGTGGAGCCTCATGTATAAACGTTTGCATACATCATCATTGAAATCATGCGCAAAATAGCAGATACATGCATATGTTCACTCTTTCTAATACATGTACAATATAGGTACATGGAAAAACTTCATATATGTCTAAACAATAATTACATTCCTGTTGCCAAACGTTTGTGGATTTGTGTATAATCTCATGTTCTTTGACAACAACCATAAATAGTTGAAATGGTTGCAATTTATTTTAAATCTTTTCATTCTATTAACTAATCTCCATTATATTTGGCCCTGAAAATATACAAAAGTGCCAGGTTTTGGGCTTTTTTAACTTTTATAAGTACTAATATATAAATGACTGAAGCTTGCAGTGCACTCTATATGGAAGGATAACACCATGAATATATGACAAACCCTGAAAAGGTGAAAAAAAATGACAGGTAAGAGCTAAAGTGCATGTCGACGTGCTGACACAAACATCAATATAATTTAAAATGAATTCTGCACATTACACAGGAAATGAATATACGTTTGCAATTCAATCACTGTTGCTTCTGTTTACACTTAAACTCATATTAAGCCCCGCCCCTTTTTGCTTTCTACTCCAATAACAGAACCTCTATCAACTTTCTCTCATCCTACACGCCAATTGTTTTCCCCAGGGTGGTAAAGTCATAACCCGCCCTACTCTGGTACTGATTGGCTGAGTGCCTTCATAGGTTTGGTTGGTTTTAGGCATTAGGAGTGACACTGGTTATGGTAAGAACGTCAGGGTAAGCCAATCATAGGCAGAGTAAGGTTAGCAGCATTTTTCAACAGAGTAAAACACTAGCTAGCTATCTAGCTAGCTAGCTACATCAATCGCTAGCTAGCAAGTTAAATCTGAAAGTTGATTGTTGGTTAGCTTGTTAGCTAATGTTTTGCTAAACTTGATGTGACTCTATGGGTCACATATCTTTCAACCATCTTCAAAATGTCTTTTCAACAAAGACGAGCCTAGCACATAGCATATCTAGCACAGTACAGGAGAGGAGAAAGTTGACTGAGGTTCTGACTGAGGCTTTCTCAACTTTAATTGGAGCAGCACAAAAAGGGGTGGGACTTAAGAAGGAAATTAGAGTGTGGCTATTACCCAATTCTTGTAACTTAGCAAGGGGTGGAACAGGTAGAAACACCTTTGTCTTTAAATGTCATCAGACGATACACTGAACAAACTAGTTGTTTAAAACACACACTGAACCTTTAAAATGTGGCCTGACGTGTCTGTCCATCCAGACACATGACTTAGCATAATATAGAAAATGTGCATTTTATAAATCCCAAACCTTGCAAATTTGTTGCACACAATCTTAATGTTTATGCATCATTTATACATGAGGCGCCGGATCTTTGGCAAAGATTGTCACATAAGTAAATACGATGGCCAAATGTGCAGGGGACACAGAGGAACATGCCTGTAATAACCTTTTTTTAACTTTTAATAAAAGTTAAAATATGAATATGCTTAAGAGCATGTTCTTATAACATATGGGGAGATTTAAGTTGGTTAAACGTTGAGCCTACCAACACAATTACAATCGATTGTCTGAATAAGAAGCAAAGTTGGATTTAATTTACCAGTGCAGAGGTGAAGGTGTGTGTAATAATTCTGAGAGGCCTGATTGTATGGGAAATTAACCAATGTCATTACAGACATTTTAAAATAGACATCTTTTTTAAAATTTGTATTAATATATAAACAAAATGCACTTCATTATTATGTCATTGTTAAATCTTATCTACCAAAAAGGGACCAGATGGATTTGTTTAAAACATTCTGATTTGGTCTATTTGTCTCATTCATTTGCATACCAAACCCCTCCAAGAAACCCCCCACAATAAAGCAATTATCAGTGGATTTCTCTTAATTTGTTTCATATTTCAGCACACACACATAGCAGACCTGTGAGTCCTGCTCTCCAGTGAAATGCTACGCAGATGATAGAAGACGTTGAGACACGTTCTTGTTCCCAGTTTAGCAGCTTGTCAGTCGGGAATGCCGGATGATGACGCGCAACAGCAGCTATTCCCACACCAGCGGAGATGGAGGCATTTCAGAGGGCTGAGCCACTGTGGAACTGTTCAAAAGGAGGCCAACAAGTTAATATTAGCTCTCAGGGTGTCTGCACACTGTATGTATACATGAATATACTGTATATAACCACCAACTTCATGTATATAGAGTCATCTATTACATTACACACAAATATTAATTCCTTTGCCCTATTTCTATTTGTTTACAATGTACACAAACTATTGACCTGTAAACAGACATTGTATGTTCTTGGTTATTGCTGTTTGTTTATAGAAACAAACTGTGTGTTCTGACCCCTTTCTATCAGAACCAGCATTTCCTTTTTAAGCAGTTTGAGCTACTGTAGCTCCAACTGCTGTGGCCAGCCTTCACTCCCCACATGCATTAATGAGCCTTGGCCACCCATGACCCTGTCTCTGGTTCACCGCTTTTCCTTCCTTGGACCACCGCTTTTTCTTCCTTGGACCACCGCTTTTTCTTCCTTGGACCACTTTTGATAGGTACTGACCTCTGCAGACCAGGAACACTCCACAAGAGCCAGTCGTCTAGCCATCACAATCTGGCCCTTGTCAAAGTCGCTTAACACATCAACTTTGAGGACA